CTGAGGGGCCGAGTGTACAGGTAATAAATGTCATCCATCTGTAGACTGTGAAAAGAAACTAGAATTTGATGGTTGCTGCAGTCTGGATGGCTCTTTGGTCAGATGCAAGCCTCTCTGCTGAGAAAATCTAGGCACACTCAGGCTGCTCTGCCTCACACTGAAAAACTTCTGGAAGGGAAGGTCCAGGAACTGGGCCTGGATTGTCTGCAGGCTGCCATGGCATGGCTGGCCAGGTTTGGTGGAAGCCAGTGTATCTGAGGCAGGCAGTGGAGCTGCAGCAGCCGTGGGTTGCCTGAAGGTCAGGTCTGAAGCTTTCCAGGGTGGACTGGTAACTGCAGAAGTAGCGACAGGGGCTGAGCATCCCTTTCTAGCCCTAGACAAAGGGCTCTTCTGGGCTGTCACCTTGTGATTGCTTAGGAAGGAGATACTGTCATGAGCATTTCTTTGTCACAGCCTAAAAGAGAGATGCCATGTGTGAATCCCACATGGAGGTGAAGGGGCAGAAAGCCCAACTCTGTCCAAAGAGAGGCAGCTGTGGTCATGCAGGCATGGTTGGTCACAGGATGCAGAAGTACAGGAGGTGTTCCAAAGGTTGGGAACCTTACTCTCTTACAAATCAGTACTTGGCTGTGGTTACTGTTTCATGTGGTGAAGGCAAAAATAAGATAAAGGATTAGCAAAACCAAGGGTGTCCTAGGACTAACCTCAATAAACAAAAAGGCATCCTTAAAAATGTCTTTATGTCCAGAGGTTGCAGAGTGTCAGTGGGATGGAGGAGGAAGGGTGTAAATAGACCCTGTTTGGTTTCATTCTTTCTTTACTCTCTTTATTCGTTCTTTTCTGATGATAAAGGAGCTTTATGTAGATACTGTAGAAGAAGAATTGATGAGTCATAAGGTTTACAACTTCATTTCCTCCTGGCTCTTTTTATTTTTTCCTGATGATTGCATCTCCTTCCTTTCTGCCTCACCCCTTGACTGCTGGTGTGGCAGGATATGCTGTGCCTTTAAGAAGGCTGTGCTGCTCTGTCAGAGGACTAATTCCTGAGCTTTGGCATGTGTCAAGGCATGCCCTAAGTTTTGTGGTGTAGTTTGTGAAAAACTGAAATGCATTTTTCTAGGGAGAATTTTAACTCCTTTCTGCCACAGAGACACTTTACCATTCTCTTCTTTGGTTGCAAAGTGTACACCACTCAGCATCACTACAGGAGGTTCTGCTCTCTTCTCCAAAGAGACAGGGAGATGAAGTGAAGTAGTGGGCTGCTTTTTTCTTTTCCAGTTAAAATTTTTATTTATTGAGTTGTTTTGTTTCATGGCAGAGCTCTGAATGGTGAATAAAGCTGACATGGTAAACTCTCTTACTGTTTATATCTTCTCACTGGTACCAATACCACTGCAGTGCTCACCTGCCATTGCAGTAGCAGAGTGGTGTAGTCTAAAACATGCTGACCCATAGCAGTCACAGCTTTATTATGAATTTCATATATTCATAATAGCAATACAGTCTTTTAAACCACAGGTCCCAGGAGGAATATTGCAAACATAAATGACATATCAGGAGGTGACTGTGGAGTAACCCTTGTGATTTTAAAAGCAGTGTTTAATACAAGTTCCTGGATCTGTGTGTTAACATATTTTCTAGTGCATAAATCCTCTTCAACTTTCAGCCTGTATTTATCTACCTTTATATTGTCTTAGGCCTTGAAATAGAAGTCCAGGTGAGCAGAAATTCCCCTGTGGCTCTGGCACTCTGGGGGCTCTGGGACTTGCTGTGCCGTCACTCGCAGGAGGTGGGCCCCACAGATCAAAGAATCTTTCTAGTAAAGACAGGCCTGTTTTTACTACGAGAAATGTTGGAGGGGAGGAGAAGGAGCTAGGGCTGACAGTGCCTTCCTCACTGAGGTGGTTGTGTGGCTCTGATTAAATTACTTACTTTGAGCTGCAGGTTTTGTGTGAGCTAAATAGTGGTATTAGTACCATGTACGGCATGCTGGGTTTAAATGAATTAACCTACCAGTACTTTACAGTCTCAGCTCTGAGATTGTGCTGAGTACAGTTGTTCTATTTAAGAAGCTTGCAGTGCTCCTTATTGAGCCCTTGGGAGGTCTCCCAGTCCTCCCCTCCCTCCCAGGAAGTCCGGCAGTGCTGTCATCCCTCTCCATGGCCGGTGGCGAGCAGTCTGCGCTGCGGAGCTGCTCTGGAGGCAGCGCTGCATTGAGAGCTTTTCCCCAGGGGCTGCAGAAGCACAGCTCAGCACAAGCCCTTCCCAGGAGTTCTGTCTCCTGATTGCCCTCTGGCCCCCCAGACCCCAGAAATCCCCAGCTACCTATTCCCTGCAGGATCCACTTGTTCCTCGGCTGGAATGGGAAATAGAGGTCCAGGATCTCCTGATATCTCTGCCACCTGCTTATGGGGTGGCCTGGGCAAGTCACACCACCTCTCTCTTCACCCATAATGCTGAAGTGCAGATTTTGTCTTCTCCCTTCATTCCCAAGAGCTGCTTAGGTCAAGTTAATGAATGATGAAGTCAGGCATGTCTGTGGACTCACAGCATGGTGTAAATATGAAGTATTACTCTGCAATTATGGGTGGAGGTAGCCCTTGTTGAAAATTATTTATTTTATCATAAATCAACGTTTGGTTGGGTGTAATCATAAAATGGAGAAAGGAGTGTAGAGAAAGCCTGTCCCATTAAAAATTTTTCAGAAGATTGAAATTCTGGCTGGCCTGTGAGTTTTTGGTGCATGTGTTGGCTCTAAGTCTAGTACTGGTTACTGAGGTTGATGATGTGGCATATAAATAGAATGACTTCTACAGGTGTAGTATTTCATCATACAGATGGAATCAAAAGAGTTTAAAAATCCAAGGATCTAATCCAATATAATAACATTTTGCAAAACCTATCAAATTCACAGCAAGTGACAAGCAGAAAAGCAACTGAGCTAGGTGGAAAATGAAATTAGAGGGAATTATATTGCCCCTTGTTTATCTAACTAGTTGTTTCACTTAACAGGGCAGACAAACATTTTATCTGAGCCCTTAGCAGAAGCTTAGGCTGAGTTGTGTTCCTCTGCTCTCCCCAGCCATAATGTCCACAGAAATAGAGTGCCCTTCATCCTATTTGGATAAAGCAGTGTTCTGCTGGAGCTGTGTTTGCTCCCTCATTTGTATGCTGTGGAAGACATTGCATCCCTTAAAATATGGAGATGGAGATATATATATATATATATATATATATATATATTTGTATTTGTTTTCCTTTTGCTGCCATATACATAATAGACTGTTATTTATTTGAAGGATTTAAACATCTGGAAGAGACTGGGGACAGTAATGTCTTTGTCCATAGGTTAGATGTGGGGCTTCAGGTCTCTTCCAAAATGAAATGTTATATGCCATCTACTGTGATGTTGGTTTGTATACTTGAGAATTTTGGTGTGGAAAGGGCAATCAATACAATGCTAATGCAAGCAGCTGGATAAAACAACTGTGGCTAAAAGTGGCACAAGGTAAAAATAGATCTATTTCTTCTCTAAGTAGTTCTGCAGTTAGTTCCCATGAAGCTAACACCAAATTCAAATTTTGGAAGTAAATATTTATATGAAATAATCTTATCTGACCTGGTTGAATAGCGAGAGGAATTGATTTTTTACTAAAATGTGTCAGTATGTGATGCACATGGGGCAGAGCTCTCTGTGAGAAACTGTTTTCCTGTAATGTAAGCTTTGTCTTGTTATTTGGACACCAACAAATCTGGTTATAGCCTAAATCTAGACAACAGGCTATCACAGATGAAAAGAGTAAGTAGAAAACAGGAAGAAAAAAAAAAGGAAAGGATAGTTTCTTCTATTGTAGCGCTTTGCAGAGTGCGAGGTTACTCTGCAAGGAGCCTCTGTGGCTTTTACCAGACTTTGCAGATCAATGCCGTAGCAACAGAACAGCCGTTCTTACATTCTAGCTCAGTCTGTTGCAAACTATCCCAGAAGATTAGCCAGGCACTCCTGGATTTGAAACAGAACTGCAAGTGAGTGACAGCAAACTAAGCATGGGGTGGAGTCTTGTAGCAGCATATCCTTCAGCTCCACTGCTGCAGTCAGAGAAAGATTTTTCCTTTGAAGATAAGACACATGGGGCTTTTGTAGAAACTTAGTACGTCCCAAGTTGTGCAGCTGTTAGCACAATTTAAAAATAAAACAAAACCAATAAAAGGCAGAGAAAGACAAAGCATCTGGCTCTTCTGTGCACCACCAAAAATTCCTCCAAATGCTAAACCCCAGACCATCACTTTTCGTTCTGCAGTTATATTGCTTGCAAATCCTTTGTGTGAGGCTTTGAGCCAGAGCAGCCTCTGAGGGTGTGGATGTGGATGTATGAGTGAGAGTGTGAGTATTCAATGTTGTTACGTGGCAGGGCACAGGCAGTTAGGAAACTTCACAATAAAGTCTCAGTGCGTCACTGCTAGTTACTTAGGTTTGGTGTTTTGGTTTTCTTTTTTTCCTGTCGGTTGCCCTCCAGTTTTGTTTCCATTTATGAGTGCAGGAAGAGGTGGGAGAGGTTGGGAAATGCTGCAAGACCCCCCCCAGGCTGCTGCAGTTCCCATGACAGGTGGAGCACCGCAGTGCTGAGCGAGATTCCCGGGACACGGTGCCCGGGGCCACGGGGAAGGGAAGCCTTCACGCTTGGGGCAGCTGTGGTTACACTGGGCCCCTTCAATGTGCTGTATCAGCAGCCAGAAGTTTGACTTATTTTTTGAAAGGACTGGAGAAATTATTAACCACAGTTGATGACGTCAGAGTTGATCTGATTAAAGGTTTGTTTTCTTGCTGGCAGAGGTGTGCTCCGTAGAGACTGGTTCTCTCTTCTTTTTTTTTTAAGTTTCTTTTTTGAACAGCAAACGGAGGGAACTGCTCGCACTGCTGCTGCCGCTGCTCCAGCTGCGTGTGTATGTGTGTAAACAGGATGGTGTATCTGTAGCTGCCACACGCAAACACACATTTGACCATGAGGACTCTTCGCAGGTTGAAGTTCATGAGTTCGCCCAGCCTCAGTGATCTGGGCAAGAGAGAGCAGGCAGCCTTGGATGAGCGGGGGACGCAGCAGCGCCGGGCCTGCTCCAACGCTACCTGGAACAGGTAAGGTCGCGCGGTGTGCTGGCTCCTGGCGGGCTCCCCGTGCTCCTGCAGGGGCATTGGCGTGCAGGTGGCTGCTCCGTGGCCGCAGGCTGGGCTGCCTGGCTCCCGCCTCGGCGGGCTCACAGTACGGTGTGCTGGCTGGTACACGCACTGGAGCTCCCACTCACATAAACACAGGAGTGCCGCTTTCCCCCGCGCTCTTAATCTTTCTCTGAAGGATTGTTACAGAGAGGGGTCCCTGCCTTCCTTTCAGCCTTTGTGACAGACAATAATTTGTTTCATAGAGTCCAGCTACAAATATAACTTTGTGTCTATCTAGATATTCTCATTCAAAGTTTATTCGGCTTAGGTTTTGTTTTTTTTTTCTAATTACATGTGCACAGCTATTAAAATAGATACTTTTTATCTGCATATCTGTGGCTGTTGCTGGTAGTTGATATAGTTATGACAAAGTCTACTAAATTTACTCATGTTAGTACAAATAGATGTGTGCATGTACACATGCAAGCACCTGCACTTTGGACAGGGAAAATAAGCCCTGATTGTTTACTTTATTGTATTTATAAATTTTAATTCTATGGCTGTTTTACAAGAATACCTATGCAAACATTATGTTGGGAATGCATCAATTAGCTCAGCTATTCAGAAAGCCTCTTAATGTCCATTTTGGTGACAATCTTAAAAGATTAATTCAAGTCTCTAAATCATTAGGCATTAAATTCTTAGGTCATTTTTGAAAATGAAATGTCACCTTCTGGATCACAGCTTGTAAAGTGTCATCTGTAGTATTTTATAATTGTATGGTGGTACAACTGTAGGAAGAAAAATACCAATCAACTACAGACACATTTGCTAAAATTCTGAGAAAAATAAAATATCATATCTTCTGTCCTTCTCACCGCTTGATTTGTAGCTTCATGTGTGTATTAAGAATTAGTTGTTGAATGCCAGCAGTGCACTAAAATCTGAAACTGTGCTGATCACAAAAGAGACTGAGTTTCTTCTCAAATATCATGCTGTTTGTGTGACCCTGAGTTGTACCTGATGTGCGGGTGGTTGTTCAAGGATGGATTGGGCCATCTTGGGTTGTGCCAGTTGGACTTTATTTGGCCAGTAGCCCTAAGGGAAGCAGCGGGGAGTAAGAGACTCCTGGGAGGGGATCAAGGTGACAGAATAGAGTCCCCAGACCCTTTTTGTGATGGTGTTATGACAGCTTTTGTTGGGAGAGGTTAGTTTTTCCAGGTTTTGCATGTGGGGAGGGAGCTGTGGAGACTGATGTGAATGGAGAGCAGGTCAGGCACCCGGCTTGCTGGGAGGGGGAGAGTTCCAAGCCTGGGGCTGCTGATATTCAGACTAGAGGATTTTCCTAGTTGAGATGAGTTTGTTAGCAAGCAAGAGTTTAATTTTGACAGAACAGGTACAGCTCTGGCCAGAAGTGCTTGCCAGTCAGTGAGCTGGACATCTGCACGTTTCATCCAAACAATGTACAACTGTCCCATTGCCTGTTCCTTGGCTTGGTGTCCGTGAGTCATCCTGTCACTGCTTTGCATGAACTCAGACCTAGCCATGCTTTCCACCCCTGGGTTGGCTTTTGCCAGCACGTGGATTGCCAGGCTGTCAATCCTTTTGATGGCATGCTCCCCTGAAATGCCTGACAGCACTAGTGGGGTTGTCGTGCAGGTCAGGTGTTCATTGTGTGCTGCTTTAACAGCTGCCCAGAGCTGCGACAGGTATTGCAGATATGAGCTGGTTGCACTGCATGGGCAAAGGAAAGGCCCTTGATTTATTATTTAACAGGGCAAGGCTTTCTTCTGAGTGAAAGAATGAGGGTAATTCTTGTTTCAGGCTCACAAAGACTTGTATCATCTGTTGCTCTTAAGAACGTCAGATATTCTACAGGCTGTAAAACTGGGTCTTTATCCTGGGGAAGGTCAGACCTTAAATGATACTGGATTATTAAGAAATTATCTACTGTACCTTCTGCCTATAGCCAGTGCCTGCCCATCTTCACATATATAATGGGGTCTAGTCTTGAGGGAATCTGTGTTCGTCTCTCCTGGAGAGACTAATGTTCCTGGACATCTAAAGTTTCACTCACCACAAACCTGGTCTGGCTTTTTAAAATTTTGGGCTGTGGAATTTCTTTTATTTTTCTGCTGCAGAACTGAAAAAACCCAACATAGGACACTTTGCACTCTGGTTTACAAGAATATTTTTCCTTCCAAATGAAATGATTGCTTGTGTTGTTTCATTCTGTGTAAGCATAAGAGCTTGCTGATCAAGGAAGTCAAGATGCACCAGCAGAGCTCTCCCCTCTCACCAAGGCTGGCTGTTCTATATTTAAATGTCTGCTGTTTTCTTGCCTAATGTTAGCAGCTGTGCCTGGGTGTGGCATGTGTGTATCTGCTTTTCAAAGAAGCTTTGAGTGGAGTCTGTGAGAACTGAAGTGGGGAGAGTTGAAGCGCAACACGCAGCAGGTTCGGCCCCGCACAAACAGGCCGATCCCACGCTGAAAGGCAGATCTTTGAGGCAGAGCAAGGATGCTGCTGCCCTGGTCATAGCAGGAACTGAAAAGCTGAAGTGCTGCTAGTGGAGTCTTTTGCAGGACAGCAGCTCTGTCACTGCGGGCATTTTCGGAGGGACAGTGCATGCGTGGCTGCCCTTCTGCGCTTGTTCTGTGTGTGGTCACCATGGTCCAGCAATGTCCCCTCCGCTGCCTCTGCCCCCTTCACACCAGTCTCAGCTCAGGCTGAATTCTCATACCTGAGAATTACTTCTGCATTTAGACACCGGGGCAGGACAACCTGAAGGAGCCAAATTCAGCCTACTGGGGGAACGAAGCACTGTGGTAGCAAGGAAGGTCACTTCCTCCCTGAGGACTTCCCTTCACGTCTGAACTAAAACGCAGTGAAACTTCTCAGCACTGTAACATCAAAGGGAAATTGGTGCCAAGCTGCTGCCTGCTATTAGGCAAATGAGACTTTATATCATGGCTTTTTCAGAGCTTGCTTTCCCATGGACCCCAGATCTGTGCAGTAAAACACTGACAGTGCAGTTAACTAGCAACCAATGGCAACATAGTGGAACAATTTACTTCATTACAGCTCACAGAATTTGCATTGGATTAAAATAGTTTAGATTTTTTCACTAGCACTGTCTTCAATTCTTGTTCTCCCCCCTCCCCAGCCCCCATTTCTGCTTCAGGCAAAAAATGAGGGCTGAATGCTGACTAAACCAATTGGACTGAGAAACCCAAGGGTTTTAATCTTGAGCTCACACACCAGGGGGCCCACTCAGGCCAAATAAAATCCGTGGCAGGGTTTTCATTCTGAGCTAGCATAGCACAGACTGCCTAATCAGGAGCTGATACTGAGTTGTGCTCTGGGAAAGCCTCTAGTCAAAAGCTCTTAGATCCTCTTTGATGTAAGAAAATATGGAAAATTTGCAGAAACGTGAAGGTATAGGAGATAGCAAAGAAACAGGTAAGTTGCATGTGGCATTAGCGAGATCAGCAGTAAATCCGGGGAGACTGTCCGAAAGGATATTATGGCCTGAGCTAATTTTTTACAGGGTTGTAGTAAGCACAACAACTTGCTGTAAAATAACTTTTACAGCCATGAAAACGATATTTCATCTCCTAATTTAAGATTAATGTTTTTTCAGATCACAGGAAGACTTTTCCAGTGGAGAAAATATTCCAGACCAGCATATTTTTCTCGTTCTTCCGTTATTCAGTTTTTATTTAGAAATATTTTTAAATATTTCTGCCTGTCTGAGGATTACCTTTCTTTTCCTGACCCTTTATTTGAAGCCCTCTGTGGAGTGTTTGGCGCTCTGTGTGCATGTGTGGCAGACAAAATCTCACTGTGGGGTGGAAGGGAGAACAGGGCTGGTGAAGGAGACTTCCTGCTGGCCCAGCCAGCACTGCTCTCCATGGAGCATTTTCCAACCATGACTGCAGTAACAGAAGGTGGTGGTGGGGAATTGCTGCTCCCTGTAGCCCTCCAGAATAACTTATACTTCCTTGAATGCAGGAAACCAGTCTTCTTCATCCTATAGTCCATAGAGATATTAACTCTTAGTAACACTGGGAAGTCCTTTCATCTGTCTGTCTCAAATTTCTAGGTGTGTAAGAGCTGTGATTATAGTTGGTCAGGTGAGTGGACCAATGCCTCCAAACTCTTTTGAAGAGGGAGTTTTCCAGACCAGCTTATTTTCACTTGTATGACCAAGTGCTTAATTGCAGCCTATCCCTCTTTGCAGGTTGCCTTACTTCGGGTAGAAGTTCCAGGAACATAAGTGAAGTAGTGTCTGCAAGCTTATGTTGGAAGGGTCAAGGCCTGATGGAAAGCTGGTGGAGTTGCAGCTGGACTGAAGCTGTGCTGAAAATGGGCTCTTCCCAATTGGATTAAGCTAATTCACAAAAATTACCTTTTACTCTGGAACAAGGGTGTCTTCAAGAAGGTTTTGATGCAAGTATATCAGGTTAATTATTGTTAATTAGCTGTTCATGTAACTGTGCAGAGGAAATTTGCCCTAACTAATTTAGTCCCTTTTGAAAGTGAAAATGTTGTCTTTAACTGCCTGGTAGTCAGAGGGTGTGATTATTCACACAGCATTGTTTTTTCTTCTGGACTTCACCCAGAGCTCTGGGAAGGGCAGAATTTGCAAACACTACATAAAATCATGGTGGTATTTTCACCTGCGCTGTTTGCACGCAAAGGCAGTGGCTGCTTTAGAGAACTCAAATTACTTGTGTGATCTTTATGGAATATCGACATTGGCCAGTCCTGCTGCTTTGCCTGGAAATGCTGAGCTGGGGGGGGGCATGGCTGAAAACACAGAAGATCAGGATTAAAAAAACTTGCAAGCCCAGCTTTGGAATTGTTCCTCATCTCTGTGGCCAAACTGATTCTGACCTGGCAGAAAACTGCTTTAATCGCAATAGTTTTTCCTTCTTGGCTTCCAGATGTCAGTAAAAGAAGAGTTATGGGTGGTACTGGAGGGGAGCCAGCCTCCCACCCTAGTGGTGTCTGGATGGACAAATAGCAACCCAGGAGAAATGTGTGTTTTGGTGGTATTGAGCTTTGTAGCCTATAATTGATTAATACTATGTAAAAATCAGAATAATCCACCCCACCCTGCCCACCTTGACCCTGCCCCTGTTAGGCTGGTTGGGGGTGCCATCAACAGGCATACAGCTCTGTGCTTCAGGGATTTACACCTTCCAGTTCCCTTCATGGTGAAGCTAACGGTGGGAAAAGTCTGTGCTGTGTGTGCTGGAGCTGCCATTCACCCCATTTTGGTCAGCTGGAGCCACCTCGTCCTCTGGAGATTCAGTCAAATGTGGAATGAGTTGTCTTTTGAATGAGATTAAGTTTCTTAGGCTGCTGAGTTGATTTTTGTGGCTGTGAGTGCTGCCTAGGTTGTTGGTAGTTTTCTTTGGCAATCTGTGGCTTCCATGGGATAGATCAGTACAACACAATACTGGAGCCATCTGACATTTTGTTGTCATTCTAAAGGCAGGCCCCCAAAAAAGATCTCTTCAGTTTTCACATCCTGATTTCCCCTTCTCCAGTGAGCCTGCTCTGTGGAGTTTTTTTTGGCTCTATTGGACTCTCTTGTTTCCTGTGTCCCTGTGCATACGCAAAGCAAGTACAGAGGAGGTGTTCACAGTAATATTAGTGCATGAGGGCACCCATTATTAACTTTCACATTGTAAAAGAGTTAGAGAAGGGAGTTTACAAGGCATTTTCAGTTCAGGTTAACTATTGCAATATAAGTTTAATTATGTACATCACTGACTTAAGCCTCAGCTGCTGGTTGAAGGCACAGGTCAAGTGATCCACCCACCTCAAGCATCTTGCAGGATTTCTGTGTATAAGCAACAGCTCAGATTTTCTTTACAGCAAAAATTTGAACCATTTTGACCAAATCTTTTTAAGCAATCACTTGTTATAGAAACCCATTGATTTAATCAAGGCCTGGGTTTGTTTTTTTCATTAGCTTAAGGTAACTAAGAAGATTTAAGCAAAGTTTTCATTATCCTTACATCAACTGAGGCCACCAACAGCATCGCACATAACCTGCAGGCTGGGGCTATGTCCTGCACCCTCCATACAAGCATTGCTCTCTGTGATGGGAAGGAAAGGCAGGTGGTCAACTTAAGGAAGCCAAGACTTGTTCTCCAGACAAGGATATTGTCCCTCACTACAAGAGAGATCAGGGCAGATTAAAAGTTCACTGCTAGGATGTTTTATGTAGATGTTGTTCTGTTGTACAGACAATAAGTTAAATGCTTACAACCCTTTAATTCTGGTTAAAACAGCTTGTTCTCTCTTATTTCTTTGAGGAATAATAATGGACCTGTTAAGCTGGAGAGAGAAGACCTCTCCCTCATTTAGAAAAGGGTGCCAGAGGGAAAGAGAGAGCACATTGCTTTTTAGGAGAGATATTTAGTCGTTCTTCTCTGCAGAAGTTTGGCAGGGAACACTGCAAAGTTCATTTCTGAATCAGAAGAGCATGTAAAGACTGCTTGTTTTATTCACTACATTGATCTTATTTCCCGTATTACTCATAATGTTAAAATACCCAAGTCACTTCACTGTATACCAGAGACATTTATCTGCCGATTTTCAAGTAATCATAAATTGAGTGTGTCTGTATGAGCCAGCCAAAATAATCTGGGTTAGATTGTGAATGTATATCTGTGCTTGTGGGTGTAGGGGGGAAAGAGGGACTGCTGTGGCAGCAGTTGTGTGTAAGGCCTTGGAAACATCTTCAAAGGAACAAAAGAGAGAAGAGGATTATTGTTCTTATTTCTGTCTGCATCTGTATTTCTCCACAGCGGGTGAGACCCTTCACCTGCCACTTTCATTTCCTTTCTCCTTAGATGAAGGTGGCTGAACTTTTCTGATAGTGCATCTCTTTGCTATTGTGTGCGTGCATTTTGAATCTCTCAGTGAATAGTGTGGAGTTTACCTTCCAACCAATCCTCTGCTCCCAGCCAGCTTTGAAAGGTGCTGTCTTAGCATGGGCCTGGGAAAGTTTGACGTGGACACTGTCATTCCCAAGGCAATCTCTGCTGCTGCCTGGCATAGCTCCTGCAATGACATCCCCTTGCAGTGGGAGCAGCCCTGTGCAGCTGGATCTGGCCCTGGGTCAGGCCAGAGCTGACCAAGTCTTCAGCACCTGAAGGGAGCCTACGAGAAAGGGGAAAGACATTTTACAAGGACATGTGATGACAGGAAAAAGGGGAATGTCTTCAAACTGACAGAGAGTGGGTTGAGACTGGATATTAGGAAGGAATTTCCCATATTCCCTGTGAGAGTGATGAGGCCCTGGCACGGGGTCCCCAGAGAAGCTGTGGCTGCCTCATCCCTGGAAGCATTCAAAGCCAGGTTGGATGGGACTTGGAGCAATCTGCTCTAATGGGAGGTGTCCCTGCCCATGTCAGGGAGGGGGGCAGGATGATCTTTAGGTCCTTTCCAACCCAGGACATCCTGTGATTCTATGATAAGCTCTTCTTGCACCAGCAGGAATCCCCTGGACACCTTATACCAGATACTGACCACCTTTAGCTCTTCTTGACAAGGCACAGCAACCCCACACCCTCCTTTGTACAGGTCTGGTCCTTGTCCTGCTTTCCAGAGTTCTAAAGCTGATTGCTGCTGCCTTGCACAGACTCCAGTGCAATGGAAGCTGTTAATTGTCTCTGTACGGAGCCACAAAGATAAAAACTATACTTTCAAATGCTTCAAATGTACTTAATATGTGAGTGTATTAAAAGTTACAGTTGACATACTTGAAGTACTTAAAAATACTGGCCTAAGTTTTTGAAATTACTGATTTCAGATGTGTAGCTGTTGAAGTCACTGAGCTGGAACAAATCAAAAGGAACTGATTTTCAAAAATGTTATCTATTTTCTAGGCAGTAATTTCCTTTTAGGCATCTGGGATGGGTGGAGTACCAGAAGTCATCTGTGACTTTTAAAAGGTCCTGAAGTGTCTAGACAGAAATGCTAGGATAATTGTGGAGGTGATACCCTTCTCAGATCTTGCTGGGCGCTGATGACTCTTCATGTCCTCTTTCAGTATCCACAATGGAGTGATAGCAGTATTCCAGCGTAAGGGTCTCCCAGACCATGAGCTGTACAACCTCAATGAAGGAGTCAGGTAAGACCGGCCGCGCAGGGCGTTCCCAGCCAGGTGCTCAGTGCTGTTTGCCAGCCCTCGCACTCAGCTTCTGCAGAGCGCTCAGGTTTTTCTCCCAGGGGCAGTTTTGACTAGTGCAGTCCATTTTGCCTCAGTCCATTTTGCCTCAGTAATCGCTCAGTTATTTAAGCTACAGTTGAAAAGAAAATTTACCAAGATATAAGCTGTTATCTTAAGTGTTATGTAGCACTTCACATTTTACTACTTTTTCAGCGCTTATTATTACTTACCAAACCCTCTAACTGGCAAGGGCAAAGTAGCAGATTTCCTTATAGAAATTTGTCCAATGCTTTATAAAATAAATGGTGGAAAAGAATCTGCACTTACAAAAGATAGACAGCTTATTACATTCCCTAGCTGTCTTCAGATATGATCCTTAGTTATTCCCTTTCCCTTACTGCTTACTGATACTCTGTCTGGGCACTGAAGTCAGACTCTCCAGTATATTCCCCAGAATACATAGATATTCTGGGTTTATCTGTCCCTGTCTGATTTCCAGTCTGGGATATTTGGCTCAGTCTGGTTCCTTTAATTGTGAAAATATCTTCAGAAAAGTCCAGCCAGATGATATTGGGCCTGTGGTTGCTCTTCTTGAAATTAAAATAAACTCACTCTTCAATTATTTGTTACATTGCTGGTGAGAAAATGACATACAAAGAGTAGCTTTTCTAGGATGTCTGTCAGTTAGCATGATCCATCAATCATGTTGAGTTCCTTACTGGAATAATGGTTAATCAATGTTTTTATTGTAAGTGCCTTTAGAATTATTCAGCTTTATCTGAATGACAAAAAAAGGAACTTCTGGACTGAGATTTCTTGGCCCAATGCATTTCCCTTAATATGCTCATCTGCTGGTGAGGGACAGAAGAGAAATTTTCTGCTGATGTGTCAGACAAATATAATCTGGTATGAACCAACAAATAGATAGAAATGTGCCCAAATTTTGCTTTAATTTACTTGGCTATAAACCCTGCACCACAATGATGCTTGGTAACATAGTTGAGTTGAATTTATTACAGCATCTCATGTGGCTGAACATGCAAGCTGACTAAAAATGCACTGATTTTTTTTTTTTTCCCATTTTATGAAGGGCACTTGATAGGCCCATTTGTTTTTGTTTGGGTAGAGATAATGCTGCTTTGTTGGTATCTCAGCTGATAGCTCACTTCAGGGAGAATGCCTGGTTTCTTATACCTGAGCTGATGATGAAATTACTGATTTGATACATGCCAAAAATACCTGTCTTACTGCTTTTGTTATTTACTTCAAAATAACTTTCTTTGAGTTGATGTAATTATTGAGCATAAAAATACCTGATACATAAACATGACTCAGAACAAGTATATGCTTGCCTCACGATTGTTTTACCTGCATTTTCCCACGAGTCCATTATTTCCACTGGGCAGAATTCAGGTGTGGAAGTGTTCAGGTAAATGGTTAAAATTAGTTCATTACTTTTTTTAATAGTTACAGACCAGTAAAAGAAGTTATTTTACTTTACCACTTCTATTGAAGCAGATTCTGAATATTTTTCATAATAAACCCTTGAATATCCAAGTTGACTCACAGATCAACTGTAAATATTTGAACAATATTTGCACACCATTGTTTTGACTGGAATGTCAGGTATATTCAACTACCATGTGTCACATACATGCAAACAAATACGTAAAACTTCTTCTGAACACACGTTTCGAGGTTTGGAACCCTGATTACTTATGGAATCAACAGTGGGTACAAATTTGTCCAGTACCATTTACTTTTCTTTTAAGTTTGTCGCATAAGAGCTGCCACTTGTTTACACCAATGCCCTTTGACACCATTCTTGCATTCCCGTGGCAAGGAATTTGTATTTAAGTGGCCTTAAATACAAACTCACATACACAGCCCTCAGAATCCCTACTGCAATGAAACCAGTGTGGGAGTTAAGTCTCTCTCACACTGCTGGAGCTCCTGAGTTCCTCTGATGAAGCACAGTAAAGTCCCAGCAACTGGGAGTATCCCCAGTATGTGACCTATGCACTCCTCCTTCTGGGCCCTTACTGCGTGATTTATTAGGAGACTGAGTCAAGAGTGTAGTAGTAAAAATGCATATATGGACTTTAGTTTTCTCTTGGTCCATGTCTGCAATATTAATAATCAAATAGCGTTTTCTCCTTTTTCATTTCATGTACCATTTGTCATTTCAAAGGGTTCATTTTGACCGCTTTTAAAACAAGAAAAAGAAGCAAAGGGAAACACAGTGGAAGCTGGATGTCCTGTATTAAAGCTAATGCATATTTATAGCTGCCTCTTTTCTGAGTTTCAGGATGCTGATGTGATGCAAACAAAGCACATTTTTAGTGGCATTTCCTCTTTTGCAGCCACAGTTCAAACCCAGTAAAATCACTTGTTTGCTTCATTCAACTTTATTTAACATCTGTTATGTGGTGTTACACTTTCCATTCTGAGTAATGTTGCAAAAGTTAATTTCAACATGAACCAATGAAGCAGCATCAGGGAAAAGAAAAAGTCAGGAGCTATTTTAGCACATTTTAAGGGAATTTATATCATCTCAATTTATTAAGTCATTAAACAGGCAATGAAGACTTGATATCAATGATGGACATATGAGTGCAAAATGCTTGCTTTAAAAATCAAATGTACTTGAAATAAGATCTGCTCTCTGGTCAGGGATCTCCTTTAGGTTTAGTCAGATTTTTACCTGGATTCCACCATGACATCCACATGTCTAGATAAGGTTGGTCAGTAATTGGAATTATTCAGAATCTGACAGCCTAACTGGTTTTTGTTAAAGGAAATTAAGCAGGGATGAAAAAGAAGCTGCAAGCAATGTCTTAGATCCAGTTTTGTTGTGGATCTCTTTTAAATGAATATATACAAAGAATATCAAACACCAGTGTTCTAATCTGGCCTGAGGGCCTCACTGTTTCACTAGAAATTGATTAAGTAGCTTGAAGTATTATTGCGGATTGAAAAAGCAAGATGCATGAATTGTGCTGTCAGTTCTTTTGCCCTGTAAACAACGATGTAAATGTAGGCCTGGTGTGGTGTACTCCAGTGCATATAACGACCTACAAGCTGGTTGTTTGATTTCAGTTGGAAAAAATAGAAGTGTGGTGGGATCTTGTTTTATCAGAGAGCTGGATGTTGGATAAGTAGAACGTACATTTTTATTTCCTGACCTAAACACCAGAATTTATCAGTAGAGCCTAAAATACTAAAATAAAAGGTAGCTGCACATCACCTATTTGAGCCTGTGAGGAATCCATCTGGAGCTGCTAGTGTGAGGAGAGGGTAGAAAACCAAGCAAGATCTGTCAGCATCAAGTATCAGTATTTTCTTGAAACAGAGGCACAAAGAGATACATGAGAATAAATTGTCACTCTCATAGGAAAATTCAAATCTGCAACTTTCTTGTTAGTTCAACCTAAAAATGGTCTGTCTGTCCCTGTTCAAAATGTGATGAACCTTTGGTGTTATCACTTGCAATCTAGAAAAAGGTCACCTCACTGGAAGTAAATCTCCACTTGGAGTGAACACGCTACAATTTGGCGTTACAGCCTCGTTCTCCTTGACTTCTTTTAAGGCACTGGAACTTGAGCAGCCTTTGAGTGAGGTGGTTTTTAACCCCTGCCAGGGCCTTGTGAGTGTTACTGTCAGGGCAGAGTCCCAGGGCTCTGCCAGAGCTCTCCTCTCCCACATTGCGGCCACATGCCGAGGGCCCTGCTGACCTAATAGCGCTTTGTGACAACGGGAGATGGAGAATGGATAATGCATCGGGTGGATAATGCCTCAGCTGGCTTTCAGAACGTTTCTCCATAAATAGTTTGTCCAAATTAATCAAGCTTCTAGCTGAAAAGGACTTAGATGCTTAGGAGCATCTGAAAATGCCCTTCCCTCTGTTTATTCTTTGTTTAATTTCTGCCTAGACCTTCCAGAGCTGTGAGGTCAGTGTGGACATGTGCTTAAGGATAAAAAAAACAAGATACCATATTTCAGCCTCCTCAAGACAGAAATACTCCTCTCTTCCCTGAACTTGGAGGAGATCTCAAGAGGCTGTGCTGAAGCATGTGTTGGAAAAACACCAGAATTAAGTCCTGTAGACTTTGATGGAATATAGGGATATGCTGGACTTGATGTCTTATTGTTTACTAGTTAAATAATTTGATTGATCAGTTGTCAGTTAAAGATACAACACAAAGGGATAAAGGACACGCTATTGAATACATAATTGAAGTGGGTGTTTAGATTTTAAGTCACATTTGACATCAGTTCTTCATAGGATCTGACATGGTCACGCAGACAGGTTTTCAAGAGATTTAGATGTGTTCAGAAAACCCAGCTGGGGCTGCATTTCTATAAGGTCCAAGCTGTCATTTATGTGTCTAAATAGTGACCTGACTGAAGAGTTATCTAGCATCCAGCGTGTGTGCTTTAAATAACACACCTTTTTAGCCATGTGGTGAATTTTACCTGGATACAAACAGGCTTATGGACTGAGTTGAATTCAGTTTCTGAATTTGAGAGTTTTTGTGGGATTTTGTTTTGCATGAGAGTTTCAGTTGCTCTCTGAGGTTGCTTTGTAGGTTTTAGTGTAGAGGGATCACGAAGGGCAGAGCTGAACTGTTAAGTTCCTCCCTGCCTTTTCATTGAAACCATATGAAACTTCAGCTGTCTAGTCTCCTGAGTGGACATAGGATGGAAAGCACCCTCTTTTCGTCGATTTCCTTTTGTGTGTGCAATTGAGGCATCTAAAATTACAGCAAATATTTTTCAATATGCAAAATGCTGTTTTGAGTCTTGGTATTGTTGACCCTGTTTGCTCTCTTTATAGTTAGTCATTAATGACAGTCTCTGTGCTCATACTAAAGTAATTTGCTATTAGTGACTTCCCCTCATTCATGGAATGCACAGCTAATGTGATTTGCTGATTACACAGATTCTTTTCTTGCTCTTTTTAATACAGGCAATTACTGAAAACAGAACTGGGATCATTTTTCACTGAGTATCTGCAGGTAGGCCTGTGTTTTCTTTATTTAAGTCCAATTCTGTTTTATGCTAATAATTTTGCCCGCTCTAAATGATGACCTGGAGACCCTTGAAACCATTCAGAGATGTCCACTGACTTCTCTGTGAATGAGATTGGGATTTTGTATACATACATCTAGTTAGATAGGGAAAGCCCAACCTGTCATGGTGTTTCTGTAGGTCACTGCTGTCTTTCTTGAGATTTCAGACATTGGTTTTTAGCTTAAAATTGAAGTAAACCAGTGAAGTTCATTGCAATAGAGTTATTGGGAAAGACTTTTGGAAGTAGGTACCACCGTCTGTTGAAGCAATATTCTTTCTCCTTCTCTAAGTCCCTGTTTTGTAGGTCAGTTATTTGAAGTTCTGGAATCACTTTGTACTACACAAAATACATCCTCTGTCCTAAAAACAGCAGGTGATTATAGCATCATTTCACAAGTGTCCCAAGTGAGGTAAATAAGATGGATACAGCAAGAGTTCTTTGATGATTAATTTTTAAAATAAAATACCCCCTTCACTGTCTAAAGTTAAGAATGATCTAAATGTGAAATATGATGGTTGTGGGGAAGTACAGAATTGAGTAAATGCAGTCTGTCTTTTATTTACAGAATCAGCTGCTCACAAAAGGCATGGTGATCCTAAGGGACAAGATCTGGTTTTATGAAGGTAACTTGGATTTTAGCATGGCTATGTATGTCACAAGTGTTTTAGCAGATGCACTCTGGAGGCGCTGGCATGCTTTCCACTATCTTCCTGGGACTATGGATTAGCATGTCTCAATCTATTCCTGCAGTCTGTTGTTGGGTCCTGCCTTGGTGCTCTCATTACCCTTCATAAAGGGGAGGTGATTGCCTAGAGCAGCACTGAGGGAGTCAGGGAAGGATTGCCTCCAGCAAGGACGCTTCCTTCTCTTTCAGTTACATCCTGCTCAGGAAAAGTGAAAATAGACTGAGACACGTAATAAACAAAAAACTAAGCACAAAGATCCCAGTTAGTTTAAGTATCTAAGTCCAAAAAAATGCTGTAGCTTGTTTTAAGAGTTATTCTGGATCATGCTGACATAAATGAGGTCAGGCACTGTCTCTTGTTTTAAAGGCAAGGCTTCATTCACCTGTCTACCTGGAGGTGCCACCTCTGGAAGTAAAATCAAGGATAAACTTTCACCCAGTGTGTTGCTTTATAGTCACCAATATTTTGTCTTCTGCTATTATGTGGTGTTTAGATGTATTGTTAAATATACTGTCCTGTACTAGATTTGGCATGCAGATTGTGCCAGGGGAGGCTTAGATTACATGTTATAAAATAATTTCTTCACCAAAGGAGTTGTTCAGGCATTGGAACGGCTGCCCAGCGCAGTGGTGGAGTCACTAACCCTGCAGGTATTTAAAAGTCATGTGGGTGTGGCAGTTGGGGACATGGCTTAGAGGTGGCCTTGATAGTGATGGCTTCTTGGGTGGATTTAATGATCTTGGAGGTCTTTTCCATCCTAAACAATTCTGTGATTCTGTATATCAGATGGTGAAATTGTTTCATAATAGCTTCAAGAATTATTGCCCATGTAAACATTCTAAAGGTCTTTGGGTAACGAAGGCAGTTTCAAAGAAATGCATCTTTCCTTTTCCATATCTGTAGTCATAATGTCACTTAGTCTAAATATACTGCTTAAGCAGGAGCTTGGAGATTGTTGTTTTCATTAGTCTCAGATAACTCCTGGGTGTGACCTTTCATTACTGACAGTACAGTTGATCAAATTAAGGTGGTGTTATGGAATCAAACTTTTCTGATGAAAAGAGAGTAGCCCTGAACATCGCAAAAAAGAGAACCAGTATCACATTAAAAACCCCAAAGCCCACAAAAAAGTACCGAAAGTCCTTAAGCTGAACACCAAATTCCACAGTCATATAAAATAACAGCTTGGAGAGCACAAGGGGAGCTGTAGGGATTGCAAGGTCTTCATAGCTGCTTTGTAAATCACAAAGGAAGTTGTTTTATGAGTAAATCAGCAAATGAGATACAGACTCTGTCCAATCCTGTTTTCCCCCCTAGGATTACCAGCTTGAGAATCAAAAATTCAAATACTGTATCTGGTGTTTGAGATCGAAGCTTAGATGAAAACCTAAAATGTGAGCCCACTAAAGGGCTTTCAAATATAGCACCATGTTTAGGAAATACCAAATTTCAGCAAGCTGCTGATTTTAAACTAATTTTGGTTTTTTTGTGGTTACCCCATAAGATATGGTCAGAAATTCTGGTAAGGTGAGAATTAAACTGGTCATGTTTATTCCAGGTCTATGATCAAAAATGTTATCTCTCTAAAACTGGCAAGTCACAGGAAGGTAGCAGTAATTCAGGCATCTGATTCAGAGGCAGAGCTGTTTCTGACACACAGCTTTCCTGGGGAGCTGCTGGTGAACTTGAGTTTCCAAGGCTGGCATTTGTGTTTATTGGCAGCAAATGCAGCCCTGCCCCAGAGTCCATCCTGTAGTCAGTGTCCCCATGCCTCCCAAGACAGAGCTGGAAGTATGGAGCTCTTGGAGCTCCCATGCTGAGCAGGGCTTCCTTCTTGGGTCTGCAGAAGCAGCAGTCCTGCCCTCAAATCTCAGGTTGTCCCCATCCTGTGGTTTGAGTTTCCATCTCCGCTTGGTGTTGAAGTTTTCATAAGAAAAAAAACCCCACACTTTGGAGGGGTTTTGTCCTGCAGAATGTTTTGGAAATCACAGAATCACAGAATGGTTTGGGTTGGAAGGGATCTTAAAGATCATCCTGATCCACACACCTGCCATGGGCAGGCACACTTTCCACTAGACCAGGTTGCTCCAAGGCCTGTCCAACCCTGCATTGGACACTTCCAAGGGTGGGGTAGCCACAGCTTCTCTGGCACAGGTCCTCACCACCCTCTAAGGGAAGAATTTACTCCTAATATCTAATTATTTATTCTTATCTTTCTTTCATGAATTTCAATTAACTTTTAGAAGCTCTGTGAAAAGTACCAAATGCATTTTTATGCCATACAAAATTGACTATATTGTGTTTCATAAAAATGAGCATTTAGATGTGGAATCCAACAAATGCTTACACTAAGTGTAGAGATCTTTGCCTGACAATAAGAAAAGGATCTATCCTTGATAGCGCATGTTAGTCACGTTCCTTCACGTGAAAGATGCTCATCATCAACAAATCATAGGAATTCTTCCACCTCCCTCAATAAAAGGCCTTCCCACCTATATCATTGGACTCTGCAGCCTTTCTGAGTTGCTGTGCAGGAATTCATTACGTCTCAAAACAAGCTGCCCACAAGATGGAATAAATGCATAATGGTAAAGGCATATTTATCTCAACAGAGTAAATTACTTAATACTATTCTAGCAGCAAGATTGGAAAAGGACCAGATTTATAAGGGCATTTAACCTCACCTTGTGGGAAGTAGAACTAAATTTAACTCAGACTAAATTTAACTCTTTAAAACTCTGCCTTCAGGGTGTAGTGGTTGGACTTCTCCTTCATGATCTAGTTTATATCTTGGAAGCACTTTGATATTTCAGACACTAATATTGGATGTTAAAATGCAAGGCTATTTTTGTGATTTGACCCCAGCCAGCATCTCTGCCCTGTGGAGGTACTCACTCACTTTCCCCCATGGAATGCTGGGGAGAGTTGGAAGGGTAAAAGTGAAAAAAACTGGTGTGTTGAAATAATGACAAGTTAATAGATAAAGCAAAAATTATGCACACAAGCAAAGCAAAATAGCATTCATTCACACTTTTCATGGGCAGGCAGGTGTTCAGTCATCCCAAGAAAGTCGGGCTCCATGATGCACCATGGTGGCTTGAGAAGAAAAATGCAGTCACTCCAAATGTCCCACCTTCCTCCGTCTCCCCAGCTCTGTATGCCGACCATGACACCGTATGGTCTGGGATGTCCCTGTGGCTAGCTGGGAAAAGCTGTCCCAGCCACGTCCCCTCCCAATTCCTTGTGTCCCCCCAGGCCCTCACTGGTGGTGTGGGAGAGGAGCAGAATAGGCTGTGGCTCAGCAATAACTAAAAACATCCCTTTGTTATCAGCACTGTTCCAGCCCCTACCAGCTACTGGGAAGAAACTTTTCCCAGCCAAAACCAGCACATGTTTATTATTACTGTTACTGCTATCATTGTTATTATTATTATTATTACTACTACTACTGTTAACAGCTGCTAGAAGTCTTTTTAGTTGGTTTCCTGCTGTATTTCATTAAAACTAATGAAAACCAGATTTTTTAAAAAATGCTTTAAAAATGGAAACAGAGAACACTCTTTTCAGTCTTGCACGTGAGTGTGCAGCACAGAGAGAACTCCTGCCTGGTGGTGCTGAAAATAAGAGCTTGGTGTGTTCCACAAGCCAGCAGTTTGTGGAACACAGTATAGCAGGATGATCCACATCTGTCACTGAAAGCACTTAAAGTCATCAACATGGAAATAATTCAGGAGTTGCAGATTCATCAGAGTTGTCACTATTCATCATGTGCTTAAAAAGGCAGGGGGATCAAGTACCCCATAATAAAGATTGGCTAACTCTGAGTGCAGTTAGCTTTGTTGATTGCTTTCATGCATAATTTTGATATGTGTGTAATTCTGAGCAAAATACTCCCTAGATGAGGCTCCAAGCAATGCTGTAATACAAAAATTAAGAATAGCATCACATTCTGACACCAGTAGCAATATTGATTGATTGCTACTGAATTTGCTTCCTGATAAGTCATATTGTCTTGTCTGGATACATCACAGTCTCTGATGTCATGTCCTCCATAACACTTGCTGGTGGAGGTGCAGGGGCATTGCTCTCCTCTCACAGTTGGGTTGGGGTTGTAGGGATGATAAAGAGCTTGTCCAAGGTCACATGGGCCATTTTGGGAAACAGGGATCTGAAGCCAGAACCCACCTATTGAACCAGATTTCCTCTGGGATCTTCGCTCCTGCATTTGCCTCTGTGTTGTGTAAAATGTTCCGTGAGGAACTCAATATCCAGCGTGGTTGTACAGCCTGGCCAGAACTTCTCCAGATTCTGCTGGGCAGGATTCCAGGTGGCTGCAGCTTGGGAAGGAATGGACATGGAGGTGGCCTTGTTGTGAGGACTGTGGGGAACTCGCCCCATAGCAAATTCTAACTGCATGGCTTGAAAGTTAGAGTAAAAATTGCAGCCCTAACATGATTGTTCTTTTCCATGGACTTGGGTAAGTTTTTCTGTGCAAGTGGAAAAGGGAACAGTGGAAAAGCTACAAGGGATCAGTTTGAGAGGGTGCTTTACAAAGCAGCTCCACAGAGCGTGGTTTGCTCTACTGCCCTGCAGCTTGAAAGGCAGGAGGGAGCACAGATGGGTAAGTTCCTCTGCAGGAATGCTTCCACATTTAACCTGCTGTGTGCTCCCCCTGCTCTCCTCCACAGTCCTGTCCAGCAAGTATTAGTGCAAGAGGAAGATGTAACCTGGGCCATTACTCTTCATTCTTCACAGGGTTTTCCTGAGTAACCTCAGACTCTGAGTTTATTAACAATATTAGATGAGTCACCTGAAAAGACAGAAATATGGAAGGATCTGATACACCACTATGGAAAACTATTTTCATACTACTAATAGTAGCTGCTGCATGATGCATCTTGGCATATAGCAGATTCACATTGTTTCCTGCATGTTTTACTTTTTCCAGCTAGCTGATAACAACCAAAACTCTTCATTACTTTGTTTTGTGTTTTTGCAGGGCAGAAGCTATTGGATACCTTAGCTGAAACCTGGGATTTTTTCTTCAGTGATGTCCTGCCCATGCTGCAGGCTATTTTCTATCCTGTGCAGGTGAAAAAATTACTCTGTTATCATAGAATCTTGAAAAACTGGAAAAAGCAACTTTACAGGTTCATCAGCAGCTTGATGCAATCCTTAAGTCTTTCTCCTTGGGCCAGCCTCCCAGTGCAGCTGTTCTGTTTAGTCATGTCATGCAAATAAGTTATTTATGCAAATGGTTTGAAGGGCTTAGATGGAAAAGATGAAGGGGAACTTTGAAAATAAATGTAGAGTGCAGGAAGGCTGGTTAGTGCAAATGCCAATCACACTAAAAGTCAAAAAAGGTTATGAATGATAAACTGAAGTGTTGCACAGTGAAATAAATTGAATTCTGTTGCTTTAAATATATGCATTTCCTTCTCTGCAAGGTGAATTTTGTCTTTGAAGTACCTCCACTTTTGAAAAGGAATTGTATTTCTGGGATCAAATTCTATGCTATGATAAATGGCCAGCAAAAGTCAATGGAGTTTGATGAGCACAGATTTTGACTCCAGTAATTTTAAATGCACAATAGGTACTTGATCTTCTAATGTAGTGATAGCCAGAGAGTATTGTTTATCACTGAAGTCTTAAGGAAATCTGTACCACACAGGTGCAAGTGATCCTTGCAGTTGCTCAGAGATGCCTACAGATTTTATTGGGAACTGGGTGCCTGAGTATATCTGGGGAAACTTGAGAAACCTTCTCCCATTTTTTCAAGTGGACTTTATGCCTAAAATGATTACTCAGATTTTAACGATATTACTGTTTGCATCTTCAGACAGTTACAGGTATGAAGTCTGAATTTAGACTCTGTTGTGTATCTGAGGCCTTTGAAAATATTTTAGTAACACAAGTCTTACCCCCTATCAGATGGAAATAATTACTTGAATTTCCAAAGAAACCCTGAGGATTTAAGAATCCTAAAAGTCCCATGTAAATGCAAATAGATCTTGTTGCTCATATTTTGAGGTTTCTTCCAAAAGCCCAGTTGGTGCTTATGTGCTCTTGTAAATTCTATTCATTAGCAACTGAAGCAGATTTGGGGCCTTCTTGTCTTCAATTTAAATAATTTAGGAAGTGAAAAGGAATGGGTTGGGTCAGGCTTATTTATTCCAGACTTAAGTCAACACCAGTTGAATACCAAACCTCCCATACGTACAGCCAGGTATAGCCAAGGAAAAGCCCCTAATGCCAGAAAGAGAAACAGTTTCACAGCTCTAAGTGAGGCGGGCACCGTTATTCTCTGCAGACAGAGCTGGAGTTGTGTTCCTCAACTGGGAGTCTTCCTCAGTGAGAAGGTATTGCTGAGCTGAAGACAGATGGCTTTGAAAATGCAGTATGAAACTTCAGCTCTGCTCCTGCTTTATAGTGAACTCTCTCAAACTGTACAGAGAGGAGTATCCACAGGTGGGCTGAGTCAGGATTCCTGCCAAATTTGGAGACAGTAAGCAGGGAGTACTCAAAATCTTACAAAATAATGGAAATTCAACCAATTTGCAGTCATGCATTTTTTTTAAACTTATGATACATTTAATTTGTGATGAACTGTTAAAATACAGTCCAGCTCTCATCCCACCCCAACCCTTCATCCTCTCCACATGCAATCAGACACAGTCGCCATCCGTAGAGTTCATTACTGCCAAATCAGATTTACTGTGCAGACTTGGGGGCTGCTCTCTGTCCTTTGTTATGTTTCCTTCGTGTTTCATTTGGGTTTACCATTCTTGTAATCCCTCGGCAGTGGAGGAAGGAATTTGAAAAGAGGATTTTGAAACTCATTTTCACACTGCTTATAATCTGTCTTGCTTTCTTTCTGTTTCCAAGGGAAAGGAGCCCTCGGTTCGGCAATTGGCTCTTCTGCATTTTAGGAATATAATTACCCTCAATATCAAATTGGAAGATGCATTATCCCGTTCCAGAGCCAGAGTTCCACCCTCTATTATTCAGATGCTGTTAATACTTCAGGTAAATTGATTACTTTAATCAGCCTTTCTGTACTGCATTGCTGAAGTCTTCTTAAACAGTTTCTGATTTTGTTCATTCATTGGAAATATCTTACCCAGAATGCCAGAGCTTCTGTGCTGCTGTGGTCATAATATCTAAATCCTAATATTCTAGTATTCAAATATCCAAATGTCTAGTGTCTAAAAAATCTTATTAACCTTATTTTCTAAATTATCCAATAGTTTAATAATAATCATATACTCCATATTAATATGTTATCTTGTATAGAATATCTAATAATATAATATAATAATAAATAATGTAACGTATAATAAAATAATATAATTGTAATAATTAAACTCTCAAATATCTTAAAGTAGGGACTGTAGAGATGCCGTAAGATCAAGAGAGCGTGAGAGTACAGACTTGTTTTGCAACTGGGCCTTGAAACATGAAGTTTTGCAAGGTGTATGGTGATGACATGATTTCCATTAGGTGCTGTGTGTTGCTGCATTAGCAGTTCAGAATATGAAGGTTCACATCTGGAATAGACATCAAAGTGAATATACAATAAATACAGCAATGGTTGAATCACGGTCATATTTGCTCACTGGAACCAAATTCTATCAAAATTGACAATATAAAAACATTAGGACCAGATACTGGTATTTGACTTCAGTGTTAGATTTTTTTCTCTCTGTGTGTGTAGTAGTAGGAGAAACAAAATGAGAAAATCCAGACAAAAAACAATTTCAAGATATTTTTATTTGCTTAATTAAATAAAAGCATGAGGTATGATGTGGAGAAAAGAAATTAGGCAGCAGGGAAAGTGAAAACCAGGGGTGGAATTTTAAAGGGTGAGGGAATTGAGATTTTCATGGCTTCTGATTTTTTATAAATGTTTCTTTGCTCTTCATCACAGTATGAATTAGTTCTGTATCCGAAATTGTTTTGAAGAGCAAGATAATCTAATGAGGCAAATTTTGAAAATGGAGGAAAGGAGCAAGATTCTGTCTCCTGGGTCAAGAAATGGGATTTCACCTCTCAGTGAAATCAGTGATATGTCAGTGTCCATTTGTTGGGGTGTTTATGGTGTGTTTAGCCTGATTGTCTCAGGAAAAAAATCCTTATCATACAGGAATGTCTATTTGGTCTTGTCTCCCTTCTCACAGCCGCCACCTTCCAGAAGCTTCTTGAAACTGCTGGCTGATTGTGACACAGTGACAGCAGTATGGGAGTCTCATGGAAACTGGTGTCTGAAGAGAGGAGAGGAGCCTCAGGGAAAAGCTGGAGCATGGCCTTAAATGTGTAATGAGGCATCAGGGAATTCACAGGGATTGAGCCATGAGCCCAGCTGCGTTAGCAGACACCAGAGACTCCACACAAGACAGTACCATTGCAAAAACCTTCTTCACAGGGATGTTCTTAGGCCTCAGCCCTTCTGAGGTGTGAGGCAAACTGTTTGTTCTGAATCAGGCTTCAGCGGCATTGTTGCTGACAGGTCTGCAAGCTTTTTGTGATTACTTTAGGGAGTCTGTGTTGGCTGCAGGCAGGATCTGGCTTTTAATGGATTCAGTGGTGAGCCGGCAGCTGAGTACCGTCCTGATTTTTTCTTTGCAAATCTGCTTTCTTCAGCAACCCGAAGTGTTAACACCGTGGATGCCTGTTTAGGGCAAAGGGTCAAATCCATTCTTCTTGCAAAGCTGTTCATGGAAATCAATAACCAAGTGAGAGGGAATTTGCCCCTGGGTGTTTATTTCTGCATACTTTGTCTATGGTTGTGTGGTAGGGATGGTGAAAATCTTTTCTTGGCAATAGCTCTGCTAATCTTGTGGTTTAAAACCTAATGGGAATCCTGGGAAAAGGTCAGAAGAAAATCTGGGAATTAGCTAATTACATTCTTAGTAGTGTTAACACATGAGTAGTTGGAATTCAGAGCAAAGACTTTTTTCTGAACTCAAATGTCATGTTAAACAAAATCAAATTTTATACATTAGTGACTTAATGGAATTTTCTCAATTTAGATGAACTCCATTTGTTAATAAGGCTGGAAGAGAGCAATACAGCTATCCAGTGAGCACATGGTGGTCTTGTGGGCTTTGATTTTCTGGACTGAGAGATGGTGTCTTGATGGGGATGTTGTCTAATCATGATTTGTGACCACTGTGAATACTTCTTCCATAAAAAACTTGGTGACTGGAGCAGACTCCCATGGATAGATGATGATGCCAGTGATAGCATCTGGACCAAGTGTTGAACTTAGTGCTGAGATTTTCTGCTTCTGTCCTTGGCAGCCTCATGCAGCTGTGTGATGTAGTTAAGGAATAGCTCATGTTCTTTAAGACAGCAGTTGTAATGTCAGAGGTTGAAATGCACCACTCTGTTAGACTGTATTAAAGTGGCAGAGCTTTGGGAACTAATGCAGGGTGCATCTGGTATTGCATTTTACCTTCTCAGGGTGTAGGGGAAAAGCTTTGTTACTTTGTCAGGAGAAGATACTTTCCTTATTGGACAGAAAGGAAAATTTTTTAAAGAGGAAATGGAACTGCTCCACTTAAAGGAGCAGAGGTCAGTTCTCAGGTTAATTATTAGACTTGGGTTCTTCAGTTCAATAGAGCTGCTTCTCACCCGTGCTGTAACCTGGTGTGATTACAAACCAGCAATCTTTCAGGAAAGAGAGAGCTCTGGGAGGAATAATATTCATGTTCTGGCAGTCAGTGGTAGTTTTATCACGACTTGCAAGAAGGGTCTTATATCACTCAAACTGAGTTGCCAGCATAGCCTGGCTCAATTACAAAGCACAAACTGAAATGTTAATCCTTTGTGGCTGCTCACAGGCAGCACAAGCTGAAGTGCCTCCAGGATGCTCCTGTTTAAGTTGCAGGGCATTCAAGTGCAGAGTTACGGATGAAGGAAGGAAAAGAACTAAAACTGCTTTTCAGCACTGAATGATGCACAGGAGCTCAGTCTGCTTTAAATGAGGATACTGGAGGGAGAGGGGTAAGTAGAGGAAGAGTTTAGAAAAGAACTTTCTGAAGCAAAACTACTACTATCCAACTTGCTTCCCAAAGTATATTGTCAGAAATTACCCTGGCTGCTGAAACTCTGGAACATCTTGTCTCCAGGTATCTCTCCTGAGGTCTGACAAAGCTGAAAGAGAAGAATTAAAGAGTGTTCATCTGCATCTTTCAGTTACCGTTAGGATTATTTGAATTCACAGAATCTCTTAGGGTGACCTGACATATTTGAAAAACCAACACAATATCTCTTGTGCTGAGGGAGGAGGCCTCTCATGCTGGGGGATGAGGCCTCACTAAATACAAGCTCTAAAGAAAAAAAATAAAACCTGTGGTTTCCTCTTTGGTTCTCTGTGCCTCGTTTGAAGTCCCTTGCCTGTTGTCTCTCTCTGTTGAGGAAGACAAAATAAGCTGCCCAGTGTGACCTGGGCAGCTTATTTTGTTATTTCTGCAAAGTTCCTTCCATTTTAAAGGAGTGGAAAAGTACATTTTAAGATCTGAAAGTGAAATGCAGAGAGTGCTGTTTTTCCATCTCAGCAGCCACACATGAAACTAAGGACAGCATAGTGGTTAAAAACAAAATAGCCTTTGCTGTCAGAAAGCTGCAGCTGTAGAGGTAACACTGTGATGCCAGTTGTAGTCAGTTCTTTATGGCTGCAGGTTTTCACAAGTGGTGGTTGCTTTTGTGAGATTTTCTTATTAACTCTCTTAGACCTGAAGCATAGGTTGGACAAAGCAGTTATGGGTGTGAGGTTTCCATATGCTTTAACTTATCCTTACATTTGTCTGAGTTCCTGGTTTAGAAGACAAAAAAAGCAGAAACCAATAAATAAATGTATTGTAGAACTTATTTAAATATAAATCATCATATCAAAAACGTATACTTTATCTGGGTTGTGCATAAATTGGGATGTTTTCTTCCTTCCTGGTGAAAGGGTGGTTTGTTTGTGTTGTTTGCATTAGCCCCATGCAGAGTCAGGTAAGAAATCTTGCAGCCAGGACACAAAGGGAAGAGCCCTCTGTTGCTTTGTGTTCACACATGCAAAACCGAGAATCTGGCCCTCAAGATTGGCACTGCAGACTATTTTGTAGAGATACATTTATTTCTGTGCAATATTCTCTCTTTTTCTGGTTTATTTATTGTCTCTATCAGCAAGTGCAATTTGCAGTAGTTAAATTGACACAAGTTTGTTATCCTGGAATGAATTTGTATTGCTGGGATTTTTAACAAGGCATAGCATCTGATGAGGAGTACTTGTCATGTTTGATTCTGAGTAAGCTAAGATTTGTCAGCTGCTTTTGTCACTGGACACCAGGTATCCCCAAACCTCCTTCATTGCTAGGCAAGGGTCTTCATGCACTGAGCACTGTATAGACACAATGAAAACATGGTCTCTGCACTGCAGATTGTGCAGCCTGATACATGAGAGAGTAAATGTATCTCGATGGACAAATGGGGAATGGAAGGAAACAGACAAAATATCATAAGAGTCATTTTATGACTGTTAAAATAATAACATATCACTGACCTCGGTGGTCAATCAGAAGTCCCCTAGAGGTTTCCTTGTCCTCTTATTGTAGGTTGATTGTTGGGCTCCAAGAAAAAAATACATCCCTCATTCCTCCTGTATCACTCATGAGCCTTGTTTAGTTGAAGAGAACAAAACCTTGGAACAAGCAGTGGACTGTTTCTGTTGTTTCTCCTCTGAACATGTGAGAACAGATGTCTAGGCAGTATGAAGTTAATGCAGGTCTGCTAAAGCCCTTGTGTAGTAGAGGTGGAATTGGGCAGTAGTTCCCTAAAAAGCTCTAGAATATGGTTGTACATATAGCCATGCTGATAATGTTTAAAACAGAAGCAAGGAGAAGACTTGCTTCCTGGGACATGGCTATGTCATATTATGTGGGTTAAATTAAAGCACTAGCCAGCACTGAGGGGAAAAGAAATTTTGTTTCAGAAGTAGTCATATTGCCAAGAAGTAGGTCAGGGCATCTGTTGGTTTC